TTATACGGTGCGCTCGTTAAGCGAGGCACCACTGTACTGTATATCAATATCATATCTAACGTATGTTCATTAAGTACTATTTGTTTTACCTCATCCTTATGTCTAGCTTCAATTTACCTTAAGAACCCTCATTAGTGATCCCTTCAGTTTAATTCCCTTTTATAATATATAGGATATGCTCTTAAAATTCCAGAAATTAGGTATATACATGATTTCAATGTTGAAGGCCACCTTAATATTTTTTTCCTTTTTCATCTTTCTACGTAACTCCTTCTCTTGTCTTTTCATTTGAGCTACATCCAATAGACATTCCAGACTCTTTTTAATTATATCTGCTGATTCTCTCCCATCACACCTAAAACAGCCCTCGGCTCCAGGGTTAGAATTAGATATCCTAGGTTTTCTCTGCTAATTTCCTCCAGCCCCTCTTTTGATTGGCATACATCATCTACCACTCTCTCATTTCCTTGTTCATTATTCCCAGTCTCCTGTTGACTATAATTCTTCTTCAACTGCTCCTTGAATAATTTTAACTCTTCGTTGTGGGATCTCACTATTTCTAAAATTGCTTGAAGGGTAGATTTTGTTTTATCCCAAAATTATCCTTGTTGTGGGATTATGTCTCAGATGTCAAATAATTTTATTCCAAGTGCTTAAAGTAATCAGTCCAATTCCATCAATACTTGCTTCCATAGGTCCACTTTAATGGATTGATCATCTTTAGGCTTAAACGTGAATCCAGTCTCAGACGTAGAGAGTTTTCCCCGCCTAAAGGCTCAAGGTCCAGTCAAGTTCAGAACCCAGGATACAATTTTGAAGTTCCACTTTGGTTGGATTAGGCTTTCTAGGGTTAATTTATCTGTAATTCAGTTTCATCCTAAAAAAGAAAGGGAATTCCAAACAGCCATAAAGCGTGCAAGTTCATTGATTCTAGGCTTTTTGCCAGCACCTTAGATAGCTGTTACAAGTAACATAAACAAGTTTAGTTTCCCAGAGTTGTTGCCAATTATGTTTTCAAGAGAAAGATTCTTAAATTGATAACAACAAAGCAATACAAACTTCCTTCCTTGAAATATAATTAAATGTCTAATTAATGTCCAGTTTATTTTCTTTGTGTCTCCCTGCGTCTCCTTTCTCCAGCTTCACCACTGCCAAATAAGTGGTGGGGAATAGAAGATGCTATTTCTGCTGTAGGGATTGTCTCATCCAGGGATCGTTATAAAGCAATCCAGTCAAAAAATATTTCTCACCCAGTGGTAACACTATGTTAATTAGGCTGATTTATCACTTCTTCATTGCCGGCTGCCGATGACTTGCAAGCAGACTAGTTCAGCTGCTTGTTTCTGCCCGCTGGTTGATTGGGGAGTTTCCCAGATCAAACGTGGGTAACCACTGTTCCCCCCCCGGTGATCAACAGGCTTCTCCCCCATTTCACCATGTCTTCGAGGTGGTTTTAACCCTCTGGTGGGGGTCCCAAACAGGTCAGAATTCAGCTCAGGGGACGGAGCTCCGTCCTTCTCTTGCTATGTCATCACAGATCAAGCTGGAAGTCCTGTCTTTACATTTTCTGTATTTTGTTTGGAGTTGTAGACATTGTTTGCACCACTGAGGCATGAATAGCCAAGGCAGAACAAAACTATACTTACATACCTGGAAGATTACTCTTGCAAATCATGATGCAGGTGGACAGGGGGAAAATGCATACAAGTTAGTTTGCAAAGTGAGCAAGGCCTAAATATCCAGGTTTAAGTTCAAAACTCTTATACTAAATAGCAGAGCATATTTACCTGTGTAGTCACAGCCTCAAAATTAGAAGCTCTTGTGTTCTTCACCTTGAATAAAATCTGAGCAAGAGAAGAGTTCTTAATAACTTTTTAAAAGAACAGCCTCTCCATGTTGGTTCCCCACTATTTCGCACAGGGTCTTTCAACAAGAGAAATACTTTATCAGCTTGGGTTGGGTTGGAAATTAACCAGCCACTTCCTGACAGGAGTGGGTGGGTTTGAGATTAGCCAAATTATTTTTCAGTCCGGACCAATATGATTTGGGATGAATTTGCTTATTCTTAGTTTCAAGTATTATAAGAAGTAGTTTTTTGAAGTCTTTAATTCTAGAAGGAAACTGATAGTAATTTCATCTTGAAAGAGAAAATAGACTGTCACTATTGCTAGCTAGGAAACTTTGCAAGTCAGAAATCATGCATCTGAAAAAATTAACGTCTTATTAAAAGAATACAGGATGGGGGCAAAACACTAGTAGAACTGAACCCTTTAATATTTTCTACAGTGGTAAAAAACCAGCATATTAAGATTTTTGTCTGTTATTCCATGTTGACTCAGGTGATCCCAGGAAATATCTCTATCTGCCAGCTCTTTTGTCCCAGTGCCAAAAATCTTCCATTCCTGTTCTTGTCCCTTCGACTTCTTGCCTCATAGCTCCTGGTGGACTGTCTTGCAATCATCTGAAAGGTGAGGAGAATATTAGCCTTTCAGGAACCATTTAGTGAGCTAATCAGTGTAGATTTTGCAAGCAGTCTGATTTCTGTAAGATTGAGCTAAACACTGACCAGAATCTTACTGGTTATTAACACCACTATTAAGTACAACAGCATAAACTGCAGCAGCAAACTGCCTCTAGTTGCCACTTATATTCATCACAGCATACCAGTTGTGTGACCTGGCATGTGATGAGGAATACAAGTGGTGATTCATGAAGTAATGGCAATTTGCTGCCATGATTTATGCCATTGCACATAATGCCAACATACATAACCAGTAGGATTCTAGCCTTTCATTCAGGATTTATGACCTCAAATTTTTTTAAAGATTCTGGCAACCTTCAACTGTTGTTGTCCATTCCCCATTATTTTATTGGTTCTTTTAAATTCTTAGTATCTGAAATCTCTTGTGCATGACTAAAAAGTAAACGTAACTTTTTATATATAATTGAGACATTACAATGCCCTTATACTGGCAAAAATCAGTTATACTGACTCGGCTGACTGCATGCTGACAGGGTGCTGTTATGGCTTCTGGGACTTTATCCTCTTACATATCTTTGCTGATGGAACAAATTTTGGGACTGGACATGAAGCAATACAAATGCCTATACACCATTTGTAAACCCAGTACAGTATATATATTGAGACACTGTAGGAGGAAAGCTATACTTATCACTAAGTGTAACTCAAGACTGAAGTTCAAATAGATTAGAAACAGTTGCTTAAGAAAATGGTATTGCTAATTCAACATTCTCATCCTATTTAGTGAAATATCACAAAACGTACTTGATAGAGATAGCCCATGTATCAGTGTTTTTTTACAGTTATTTCATTCACATCAGCTGCATCATTGATAAAATTCTGAAACTGTATGATCATGAATCTATAGGTCACTTGGACAGAATTACAGCAATTGCAGAAACCCAGAAGGAATTCATTGTTGCGACAGTCTCTAGTAATGGCACTTTGAAACTATGGAATTTGAGGCTTGGCAAAGCCATCTTCACTCTGCAAGAGGTTGGGGAAAATATTACTGCTCTTGTAGTATGTTCAGAGAATAGATTGGCAGCTATGTCTGACAAGACTACAGTTAAAGTCTGGGATCTTTCTATGGCACGAATGGTATATGCAGCTGGAGAGTTTTTGGGTACTCCAGTACTAACATCTGCAATGAATGGACAACTTCTGCTGGTATTTTATAATGGCAACCACATGGTTCAGGTAAGTTTGTAGATTTTCAACAATTACTATTAATTACTCAAAAAGGATGTTTGCATTTTATCAGTTGTTAGCATTTACTTAGATGATTGACACAATGCTATGTACATCTACTCAGAAGTAAGATGCACCGGCTGAAATCTAGTAGCAGAACTCACACTCTGTAAGGTTCATGGCATTGTCAACTATGGCTGTTTTTTGGGAATTAAATCTTTCCAACCCCCCATTAAAAAACCCCAAAGTTCCATTGGGATCCATTTTGTCCTGAGGAAGCTGTTGGGGGCTGTAAGATATGGGGGGGCTCTTTAATTTATGGAAATCACCAGGAGTGGAATGATTTTACCAGTGACAACATTTCAAGAAGCTAAAAATATATGTATATACGTATGTGGGGGGAGTATAAACTAGTGCACCAGCGTAACAGGACATGAGCAATCCAGCTTTTTCTGGGTCAGGAGTTATTAAGATTACCAGACAATGGTAGATATTTCTGCCATTAATTCTGAGAATAATGTGAGGAAGCATGAGATCCGAGCCTTCCACATCATCCATAATGCCTTTACTGTTTCCCTTTTTCTCATAATCTGTTCCACAGTTTGGGCACAGAAGAAAGGGAGAGACATAAAGACATAAAGCATAGTTTAAATTGATATGAAGCCATTAGCAGCCAGATGAACTCAAGCCATTTTCATTTCATATTGCTTCAGGTTTTTGATCTCACCCACTCATGCCAGATGATCCATGAAACGTATCTTTCTACAGAAGATGCGTCAATCCACCAGAATCATTCCATATTGGTATCAAAGAATTCAGTAAAAGAGTATGTTCTGTGTGCTTTCAGGTCAGTGGAACTTAATTTCTTGTATGAAAATGAATAATTAAAATCCTCTGTACAGAAGGGCCTGCAGATTCAGGAACTCTTGGACTGCTGGATGTAGTAGATTTCATGGATGTCAGGGGAGCTATGAGGTTGTAGCAAATCATTTTGTGAACCATTTAGTCATTACTTTGGCATACCTCCCATGCTTTCTAGCACAAGATTCTCCCTGTTCTTGCTCATCAGGGCTGGATGCTTCTGTCTCACTTAATGTGGCACACACCCTCCACAGTCTCAAGTGGAAAGAAACAGATCGACATAGAACTTCTGAAATATTATAATGTGTTCTGAAATCTGGAATAGGGGGAAGTAAAATTCATACTTTTGAGCATTTTTAGTCAGTGTTGTTTGCAGCTAGCCAAAGAAATACAGTTGTGGCAAGATAAACATCTTACTATTCCTGAAGGAACATTTGTAAATGACTTGTCTTTGGGACCAATGAGGCTTGGAAAGGATAAGCTTGCCTTTGAAATATTATGGGATGAGGGATTTCAGGGAATGGGAACTTCAGCATTGTTCAGAGACAATAGGCTTGTCTTCTTGTGTTTTCTTTCTGTTGGCCCTAAAACTCCTGACCAGGAATTCTCACTGTCACTCAAATGTGCACCTCCTTTAGAGAAACAGCCGTGCATCTTCATAAGCAAAAAATTATTTACCTGAACATAAACACTACTGGTAGTGTTCATCTTATACTACTATGGCTTCCTTTTCATCCTTGTTTTTTGTAGGAATGGAAATGAAGCTATGGTCTTTAGCGGCAGAGCAGGGAAAGTAGTAGCCAAGCTGACAACTCAAGAACTTGTGGCAGCAGCTGAACATGTGGCTGTAACTAAGGATTACTTCCTGGTGATCTTCAGGTAGTACTACTCTGGTATCAGCAAATAACTATTTTTTCTCCTTTCTTCTAACTGGTGATCTTGTTGCCATTCTATTTTACATGAAGAGTTCTGAATTATTTCCTAGAGCCTGGTAATATGGTTGATGGGTAAAGCTACTCACAATGAAATTCTATCTATCCTTCCTTATATTTAAGCCATATTGGGATTTGTATTGTGCTTCTAACTAGAAGGTTGTCTGCTATAGTGGGGCTGAGAAACTGATGGCCATCCAGCTGTTGTTGTAATCTCACTCCCCATCATTCCCAACTACTGGCCATGTAGGCGTGAGCTGATGAGAGAGCTAGAGCTCAACAACATCTGAATTGCCATAGGTTCTCCATCCCTCCTATTTTACAGGAGTAGTACAGTTGATTTAAAAAAAGGGAGAGGGGAATATAAAAGGTATAACCTTTCCTCACACTGCTTTGTAAAGTTACTTATTCAGGTGATGGTCATAGTCCAAAAATGTAAATTTACAAAGCTGTGTTCCTTAATGGATTTTAAGAACCCTTCTCCTGTTTAATATTTGCTTTTAGTCAGACTGAGATTACTGTGAACCCTACAGAAAATTTGATTAACCTTGAACAGCCTGAAAAAGCTTTTCCTGACTTTAGGAGGCTAATTAGAACACACTTTGACAAACTGAGTTAAGCCACCCACATAGTAGGTTATTAGCCACAGTCAGTCTTTTGTTGTTGTTGTTGTTGTTGCACCAGTTTACATTCTCATTTGTAATTTGTACATGTTTTGTAAATTGCATTTTGTTGTCCTTAGACAGTAGATAAGCATAAGTCCTATTTTACTTGTGAGGAATTAAGACCAATAGTAAATTATTTAAGCCTCCACATTACCTCTGTGCATGGCAGAATTTACCTGCATCAGAGTTCAGCTGGATCATATTACGTATCTCTGTAGACACATTTTTATTTATATTCAGTTATGCTTATACTACAGTATGGAGTAGTGCACTGGTTCTTAACCTTGGGTTATTATACTACAGTGTGGTGTAGTGGATAGAATGATAGGTTCAGACAGCTAGGTTGAAATCCCTGTTCAGCCACAGAAACTCACTGGGGTGAGTGCAGCACTGGTAAGACCACTCCATCGATATCCCAATTAAGCATCTGAGTAACAAAGGTTAAGAACCACTGGTGTAGTGGATAGAATGATGGGTTCAGAGAGCTACAGTAGGTTGAAATCCCTGTTCAGCTACAGAAACTCACTGGGGTGAGTGCAGCACTGGTAAGACCACTCCATCGATATCCCAATTACTTAGAAAGCCCTCCTAAGGTTGCTATAAGTTGGTTGATTTTGATGGCACATAGTACACATACTTTATCCTTGTCCTATTCATAACATCATAGCTGTTTTTGAATGCACATTTTACTTTCACTCTTTGTTTTCATGTTCTTCAATAGCTCACTATTGCTTTCCAAACATTCTTGAAAGAAGACATTATTTCTATTCACACAACTCTAGCTTTCTCGTTATAGATGTCCGTTTCTCAGGCAGCGGGAGATTGTGCATATAGAGCTCTACCATGCCCATACTTTTGCCTATGCTCATAATTTGAAGGGGTGCTGCAATGATTACATTCACACTTTTGCTGTCAATCACTCCGGCTCTCACCTGGTGGCATTCAGCGTCATCCCAAACACCAACACCACTGAGATTGTGTCATGGAACCTAGAATCTGAAGATCATAAGCATTTGGGTAAATTTTCTTCAGTTCCAGCTGGTGGTAAGTAAATTTTTAAGGTTGCCTGGGTATCTCTGTAGGAAAAAAAATGCTATAGTGGTCCTGAAACAGGACAGTGGCAGCAATTGATAATGAAAACAAAAAGAAAATATGAATACATATAGTACCTTGTGCTGCCACTCACCACCATATGACTTCTGGGGAGGTCACTGGAAAATGCTGGCAAGAGATTTATCTCAATGGTATCCAGTAGAGCCAAAATATATATTGCAGATAATCTATAATTAGAAGAGGGAATTCCTTAAGAGTTGAAAACATCTGATTGTCACAGTAAAAAGTTTTAAAACCTCCTATAATTTTCAGGTTAACTTTCTTTTCTTTCTTTCTTTTTCTTTCTTTCTTTCCTTTTTTTGCAACTGGTAATCAGACATATGTGGGTTTCATCTGCAAGGCAGATTGCTCAGTTACAAAGCTCCACCAAAATCACATCATTGCAACAGAGAGGAGTCTGTTTATAACTATGGGCTATATGTATATTGAGAGCCAGTGTGGTGGAGCAGGGAGAATCATGGACTAGGACTTGGGACACTTGGGTTCAAATGAAAGCTTGGCCATGAAAACTCACTGGGAAGGAGGTGGCACAGTTGGGGGCGGGGGAAGCGCTCCTTAATTATCTCACATGCCTTGAAAACTCCATCAGATGTGACTTGATGGTACATAACAACAACAACAACATGTATCATCTGGCCCAGAGCAGCTCCTTAAAAATCCCCACCATTTGTCCATCTCCATGGCCCTATACATCTCGTGGTCATATTGAAACATGCTGTGGAGCTTGCATATTTATATGACTTTTACACATTTTGAGGCCTGTCCTTTATGCAAGCATTTAACTTCCCCTCCCCCCCTTCTCCCTCTCCTTCCTCATCATCTTAGAACTGCATATCTGGAAGGCACCCTATGGATCATCAAATCCAGCCCCTGTGAAGAAGGCACAATAGAGAGTCAAATTCCCAAGCTCTGACTCCACAGCCAGATATCTAAACCACTGCACTATCCAGTGGTTCTTATGCCATGCCACAGGGGGAAAAACTGTGTGCCCCCCGCCACATTAATATTCTTCTCAGATCCTCTCAGGTCTGCTAAATATAGCAAGACGTTTAAACATTGTATGCAAAAGAGCATGATGAGATCAAATAATGGCAGGGACTGTTCCAATAACTACCGGCCTACTGTGAATTAAAACATCTGAACAAAATCTACTCTGCTTTTTAGGACAGGGGAATGTTCTGAATTTTTAAAGGTGCAAAGATAAAAGGAAACACAAACACAGACATATAAAATCTCTGGAAATCCAGTTAGTCCAGTCTTCTGTAACCCATGAATACTGGCCTTTAGAAATGTGTACTTAATGGCCAGAACATATCACTTAACACCCACCAGCAAGTGCATCTGCGTAAATTTTCACTGCGAATTGCCACAAGTTAAGAAGTCAGGAGTTGTATTTCCTGCACGACACAAAATACCAACATTAACTTCTTAATTACAGTGGTGCCTTGATTTACGGCTGTAATCTGTTCCAGAAGATGGACGTAAGTCGAAATGGTCGTAAATTGAAGCACCATTTCCCATTGAAATGCATGGGAATGCAATTAATCCTTTCCAGGATTTTAAAAAAATACACACACACAAAAACCCCACTGCAAACTTACTATACCAGCCCGAAGTCTCTGATCGCACTCAATCCCTGGCGGGGCCGGCTGTGGTGGAGAGCGAGGCCAGGGTGAGCAGCCAGAGCATCCCAGCCAGACTCAGCCTCCTGGCACCAGGGCAGCACCGTCCCCGTAAGAGCCTGTCGGGAGGCAAGTAGCCAGAGCATCCTGGCCAAGCTCAGCCTCCTGGCGCTGGTCCACCGCTGCCGCAGTATGAGCCCGTCAGGAGGCGAGCAACCAGAGCATCCCGGCCAGGCTCAGCCTCCCGACACTGGGCCGCTGCCACTGTAGAAGCCCATCGGGGGGGCAAGCCACCCCCACGGGGCCAAGCACTGAGCGTGGCCCCGCCAGGAAGGAGGAGGAGGTGGCGGCATGGGAGGACCCTTCCTCCAGGAGCCAGGTTGAGGGGCCCTCTGCCCCTGCGCCGAGGCCAAGGACTGGGATCCCACCAGTTATCCTTGTACTTTACTCTCAATAATTAAAGTATTCAGGGCAAAATTAATCCAATGCTAACCTGCGGAGCAGAATTATGGGGGTCTAAATAAAGCAACCTTTTGGAACAAGTTCAGACATTTTCTGATAAGTATCTTAGGGACTGATAAAAATACTGCCGCTTGTGCTGTTAGGGCAGAAACAAGTTCTCACTCTCTCTGTAGTTACTCAGTGAGTAAGGTTATCACCTATTGGACGAGAGTTCAAAGAATGGATTCATAGAGACTTCCCAAGCTCTACTTAGTAGAACAGACGGTTTTGGCTTTCTTGGGTTGGTCACCTTACCAAACTAATTGATCAATATGGATTCTCCACTCAATACTTATTTTCAAAAGTCCCTCAGGCAAAAGAAATATTCAAACAGAAAATCCGAGATATTAGTGCTTAAATGGATATAGAACTGCTTTCTAAGAACAAGTCCTTAGGTTGGTTATCCAAGAACAAAACTGTTTTTCAGTCTGAGAAATATTTAGAAATAAACCTATCTCAATCTCTTAGAAAGGCTTTTACTAGACTCAGATTCAAACTGCTGGACTCCATGACCAAACATGGTCACTTCCTTCAATTGCCTTAACACGAAAGGATTTGTATCTGTGGTCCCCCTGCTATTGAAGATATTACATATATTTTATTTGATTGTTGTGAGCTATATTCCACTGCTAGGCAAAACTATTTATCCATCCTGTTGGGGGAAACAGCCCATTGGAATGTGAACTTTAGACTTTCACATTTTCTTCAGAGTGTCAATACAAATGTTGTCTGCAATATAGCAAAATACATATCTAAGGTGATGGGCATAAGATCTCAAGTTGTCTGCAATATAGCAAAATACATAAGGTGATGGGCATAAGATCTCACTACATTGATCAAATAGGGGTTCCCTGCAGAGGTGACTCACTCAATTAAAATATGTACATGTTGTTTTATATTTTACTATTGGTATGTATTTTATCTCTTTTTAGCTGTTTACTTTGGATCTGTGTGATTTGTATGCTTTTTGACATGGTCAAAATGACTAATCAAATAAATAAATTCTGATACTGGTACAGTACTAGAACCAACACAGTATAGCATTACTCATTATTAGAAAGCCACTGCCATCCCCCGGGGTTACACGAGATGCTTCCAGTTTAGAAGGATTTGCAAGCAGATTTAGAAAGTAACCAGCTTAAAAAAAAAAAAAAAACCAAAACCCTGAGCCATTTTCACTGAAAAATAGGAGGCGAAAGTAACCAGCTTAAAAAAAACAAACCCAAAATCCTGAGCCATTTTCACTGAAAAATAGGAGGGGGAAGTATATCTAGACCACCTTCATCGTTAGATGAATATAGTTAACGAAAATATGTATAAGAATTTGATACGAACAATAGGTTATGTAATTATTGTAATTTCTATACACGCAGGTGTATGCCCTGACCTTCGATACTGTTTAGCATTTTGTGATGGTGATAATTACCTTCGATCCTGGAATCTGGCTCCTAAGATTAATGATCAGTCTTTGACCATCACGGCAAGTAGAGCAAAAAAACCAAATGGCATTCAGGATATTGTGACAACAGAAAACTATTCCAGGTAATAAACTACCCAAGCTATCTGAAAGACTGCATCACCTTTCATAAATCTGCCTGGGTTTTTAAATAATCAGGGGAGCCCATTATTTTGGTCTTGCCACCCTCAAAGGTGTGTTGGGTGAGGGCAGGAGAGATGGCTTTCTCTGACGCTGCTTCCAAGTAGTGGAACTCCCTCTTTTTTGATATTGTGATTGTGATCATGTAATTTCTAAAATGTTTAATATTGATTGTATTAATATTGTAAGTCACCTTGGATCCTCTTGAGGAGAAAGATGCAGAATAAGTCAATAAATAAGAATTTCAGATATGCCTTTACAGACATTTGAACTGCTGTGTTAAACTGTGCAGCTGGGAAACAACATTTAAGGTAGTCATGAGGAAACTCTGACCCCCAAGGACTGACTGTCCCTGCTGGGGTTCCACTTGAAGCTGAAGTGTCAAAGTAGTTTGCCAGAGGTCATTCCCTGCAGAGGGCGTTCTGTAACTGGAGTGCTTACTCTTGTGTAGCCCCCAGCCACACATGAGTTGGAAAGGACACCCACAAAATGAGTAGGCATTTGAACAGCAGCCACCCTTCAGGTTTCCTGGTCCCAAACCATAATGAGTTGGAAAGCCTTTATTAGTTAGAACTAGCAATTTGAAATGGATCAAGAAATGCATTGGAAGCTAGTGAAGATGACACTGGTGTAATAAGTTCAGTTCATCCAGTCCAGAGCTTGGAAGTAGCATGGTACCATAAATGGTATTGTGAGCACAGTTTGCTGTCCTCTGAAGATGCCAGCCACAGAGACTGGCGAAACGTTAGGAAGAACCACTTTCAGAACACGGCCAAGAAGCCCGAAAAACCGACAACAACCATCAGTCGTGCATTACTTTGGGGATTACAATGCTGGTAAAAAAACCACACAATCTAGTCATTTTTCATAACTTGCAAAAAGTAACATAATGAATTATTGAGGTGGGGAAGCAATAGCTAGCCAGTTAATTTTTAAAAGTAACTTTCTGAGCTTTAATTCAATCAGTGTTGCACCTTGTCATACTCTGGACTAACTGAAGTTTCCCAGCAATTCTCAAAGATAGCTCACACACAGCACATTGTGGTTATTCAAATAGGAAGGTTACCAGAGGCTGGATAATTGATATAAGACTGCTGTTGTCTGGTTTGAGGTGGTAGATCAACCTAAGGTATTAAAAGTACTCCAAGCTACAGAGGCTGCATGCTTATAATGCCAAAGCTGTATCAAATGAGATGCAGCTTTGTCATCTCATTCGATACAGCTTTGCCAACAGAATTTGGTTCCTTCAGGGACTGCCGCCTTGGGAAAAGGGTGAACTCCTGTACACTGTACAGAACCATCTACCAATAATACCTTGCCTTGTCTGGATTGACATTTATTATACCGATGCTCAAACTGTCCATTATCACATTTAGCATTCCACTTCCTCACCTGAACTTGATGAAAAGGAGAACTAGAGCTGAATGTCAGCCACAGACTGCTAAAGCATCATCCTAATGCTCTAGAACAGGGATTTCTCCTCACCTTGGGTCCCCAGATGTTCTTGGATTGCAACTCCCAGAAACCTTCATCACTAGCTGTGCTGGCAAGGGCTTCTGGGAGTTGCAGTCTAAAAACATCTGGTGGTTTTGTTTTGATGTTAAGCAACATATTGGTGTAGTTTCCTCAATGTTTCACAACTATTTTCCAGTGGAAAATTCTTCTCCACGTTCTTACTGGCATCTCATACAAGTAGGGAAATATCAACTCTTGTTGAACTTTTGCAGCATATCAGTGACAAAGCTTTTAATTCAATCTTTTCTAAGGTATGCTGTGTGCCGAAATACAAGTCCAGGAACCATAACGGTGTGGAACATTGTGAAATCAAAGTGTAAACACAATGCTGTAAGAGTGGAAAGAGGGCTGATAGAAAATACCGATATAGTGCTGGTTAGAGATATGAAACTTTATATCCTCACAGACAAAGGAATGACTTCCTTTGGAGATCCACCTAAACCCGTTTTCCAGGTACCAAACATAGCTTTGTTTTATAAATGTTAATTGTTTGTTTTCAATTATTGGCACGACTTAACAATGAGGTCTGTTAAGAAAAAGCCTATTGAGAAAAAGGCAAGGCATTGAAACAAAGGCTATGGAGAAACTAACTTGAATTTATGTTTTACACCACTCTAGACTTTGTTAGTTTATGACCTCCTGAAAAAGAAGTATATAAAGAAGCAGACAGGCCTTTACATAATTCCTTGCCCATATAATGAATACAGAATACTTGAAGGAGGTCTTCTACTTGGTCTCTCGGAAAACAGGTAACAATTTTGCAGCTGTTGAGATGATGTTCTCTACAAAATATGTGCTATTGCCACATTGAATAGAATGTACACTATTTACATCAGCTAACAGTTTGGCTGAAACAGGCTAAGTCTATAGACATCTACACAGTGGTGTCTGCCCCAGTTATTCTTGGGTTGTGCTGGGTCATTCTTTTATTTATTGTTGCAAATTTGAAAAAATCATCCCAGCATTTGTATTCACACGTGGATGGGGTATTTGTTGCTCAATGTACTAAGTTGCACTGAGTTGGACATCCTGGAGTGATTTATTGAGAAATGAAAATTGAATAATGGAGGTCATAATGAAGGGACCGTCTAGGTGGATGAAGACTTCCATAGAGGGAGAACAACTTGGGGGTGGGCTCAAAGTGTTGGCCCTGGCCAGCAAACTAAAGAATCTGCTCCTCTACAAGGAGGAGAAGGATGTTCTAGCAATCCTCTCGGACCCTTGAATTAAACAGCAGGCAATGCATATTAAGTAGTAGTAAGAGAGAGTGCAGTGCCAGCCAACTTTCCATCACTAGCAGAAGTGGCTAGTGAAGATGGTCCAGCTAACATTGAGGGATCACAGAGAGTAGGAAGAAACTAGCAATGTTCATAACACCTCAAAGAGCAGCACCAGGAGTTCTATTCTAGAAACCAGGTTGCTCACCCCTGCAGCAACAGAGCAAGCTTTCTGGGACAATGTATTTACAAGCATGGCAGGGGCCTGTCCTCCAGAGACATCACCACAGAGGAAGGACATGGCAGAGGCAGAGATGTACATGTAGGGACCCTGCAAACCAAAGGAGACGTATCTCTTGGCTTACTGGGCTGAGAAGGAGTCTGTTTGGGGAGGTCTGACCAAGGTGACAGTGGCATTGCTATCCTGCCCACCAACTAGTATGCCCAATGAATGCTCTCTCAGTCCATACCACTCACACCTGGAACCTGGATCTGTAGAAAAACTTATTTTCTTTAAGGTCAACCTACCATTGCTGGGCTTCCCTGAAGTCGCCTTTGTCAGCAATCCCCGACCTCCAAGGAGATACCGGGGATGCTGGAGAATGGAGAGATTCCAAAGTTTAGTCAGTCCTTTAGGAGTGTTCACAATATGAGGCATGCCCTGCTTCAGTCTGCTGCTCCCTCCTTCTGCCTCTTTCATTCTTCCAACTGCTATCCAAGACTGTGCTTAGTCACTCAACTGTGCTGTGCTCCATGCACAGTTTCCACCTGCCACAGGCTATCTGCTACTCCAGTCTGCCTGCCAGTGCTGCCTAGGGTATTTGCCCACTCCCCTGTCTGACCTATCCTCTGCTCCCCCAGTGCTGCTGGCATTTCCTGACCTATCCTCTGCTCCCCCAATGCTGCTAGCATTTCCTGCTGGCATTCGCACCTTTCAGGGTTTAATTGGTATGCCCAGTGCAGTCATTTCCTAATACCTAAGCACTGCTTTCAGGGTTTAATTAGTATGCCCAGTGCAGTCATTTCCTAATACCTAAGCACTGCTAGCTGTTGGTGTGCGCCCTTTTTGTTTGGCACAACCGTTGGAAAGGTGTCAGAGGACACAGAGGAATCCTTTTAAAATGTCTGTCTGTGATTCTGTTGGAAAGGTGTCAGAGGACACAGGGGAATCCTTTTAAAATGTCTGTCTGTGATTTTTTTTAAGGAGGAAAATAATGGTTATATAGTATTCATATTGATGGTAACACAGTTCTGGATATACAGAAATTATGAATTTTAAATACAAAGGGCTGTAATTCTGAATATGAATGTTGGCTGTAGTGCACGTCCCTGGTGAAAAGTGTGTGGTAAGTTTATAGAAGAAAAAGGAAACAGTGAAAGGGAATTCCATGTTAAAAGAAGCAAAACAAGAAACAAAAAGAAGTAAAACAAGTAGGGTGTGATATTGCTGATTTTGTATAATGCATTGTCGTATTCCGGTATTTTTTAAATCGCGTCCATCCTGTGTCCTTGATTTATTGATTTTATAGGTGTTATGCAAATCACAGGAGAAAATCACAGATGTTTAGGATTATTCATTAAATATCATTTGCTTTTACATTGGTTGGTATGTTTAGATAGTCTCTGACTATCTGTTTATTCTCTGTGCATTTGCATTCTTTCCTATTCTCTCTAGCATTCCAACTTTCCAATCTCTGTCTTAACTTTCTCAATTCAATCTCCTAACTCTCTCTCTCTTCAATTCCCTGTCTCCAACCTCTTTTCTCCAACTCCTCTGTAACTCCCTAACCAATTGTCTAACTGTTCTTGTGGTTCCGCCCCTCCTGTCCTCTCATAGGCTCCTGCCCTTGAGCTCATCCATGATGGACAGGCGTGACGTGGGGGTTCAGTAAAACAAAAAACAAAAAAAGTAGAACAAGTAGGGTGTGATATTGCTGATTTTGTATAATGCATTGTGGTATTCCAGTATTTTTTAAAAATGAACAGCTGTGCACTTTGATGTTGTGTTTATGGGGGGTGGGATAAGCCAAGGAAGGTTCTCTTGTGTTCCTCAAATGTCTGGTTAGCATTTGGGGAAGGGAGTAAAAAGATTCTCTAGAGATCCTGGCTTCACGCAACCCCATTGCACATGCCTGGAATCTGGATATAAGCAACTTTAAATTGTTTAGGGTGTTTCACTCCAGAAAGGCAATTATTATTTTTATATAATGAAATAAAACTAAAGTAATAAGATTTGTAATTCATGGTTAGATGATTAGCTAACTCAGGAACATTTTATTCTATTTGTTTGCACATCTTTTGGTAAAACCAGTTCTGTAATCCTTTTGAGGCTTTGCACTTATGACGTAAGCCTTGTCTGATTTGTACTTTGTTTGCAGAGACCATTTCATTACCTGGAATTTGGAAACAGGATTTATTAAGGATCGAATAAGACCAGAATACCAGGATAGGTTTGCCTTGCATACCACACAGCACAAATATTCCTTGTCTGAAGAAAACATGAAACTGCATAAAAGACTCTTGCTGAAGGAACCAACAGGTTTCAAACAATCCTTTCTAAATCAAGGCTATACTGAGACTGAAAGTGATTGTTATGTGTATGATTCCTGGTGAGCCACAGTAGCTGAATCATAAAGATAATTCCTTTGTATGGGAGCCAGGTAGGAGCAAAGTGTAATCAGATCCATGCTGTAAGGCAGCAAGGAGCAGAGGAAAGAGAAAAGCAAATTGAAATAAGCTCTGATACATCCAAGTGAATGGTCCAGTTTGATGGTAGGAATTAGAGATGGGGACGACTCACCATTTTGGTAAGTCGTCCTGCTTCGTGAGTTGTCAAAAGTTGATGACTCACGAAGCATGAAGTTGCCCCCATGAAGTTATTTGTTGATTTGTGAGGGATTTATTTTAAAAAAACACCCCTGCCCCCTGCTACCACTGCCACCCCCCTGCCACCCCCACTGTCGTGCCACTGCCCTACCCGACCCCTACCAGCACCCCCTTACTGTAATCGTTGTCGCTGCTGACGAGGTCTCCATCAGGCCTCC